GGTGTTTTTATATTGTTAATTGTTTGTGAACTGCCCAGAAACATATATTTGAGATGGGTGGCTCTATACATTGATATAATACATAAATAAATAAAGTTGAACACAGCAAATGTATTTCCAAAATTCATCTTCCACCTGTTTATGTGAAGTATGAAAAAGGCATAGATTTGGATGCCTAGATTCAAGACAAGCAAAAAGCCCTCAGTTAGGTAAGCTGGGATGTGATTTTTAACATCCCCAGGATTGGCTTAAGGTTCTTTTCATGATGTTCCCAATTTTAGCTTCATTTGATGTTCCTCTAGTTCTTGTTCATTTTAGGAGTAAGAAATGTCTTCTCATTCTTTTTATCTCTCTTTCCCATCTACTCATTCAAGTTCCTGGAGGCATAGCTTCAGAGTCCCTCACATTCACCCCCCTGGAGGACATGATTTTTCTGAAATGGGAGGAGCCAGTGGAACCCAATGGTCTCATAACACAATATGAGGTATGCTGTAAGATCATTTTGGGGAGGTGGGTATTCTGCATGTTTTTCCCTTAACTCTCTTTGTTTGTTGTTTAGTCGTTAAGTCGTGTCCGACTCTTCGTGACCCCATGAACCATATTGCGCCAGTCCTTCACTGCCTCCCTGAGTTTGCTCAGTTTCATGCTCATTGCTTCAGTGATGCTATCTAACCATCTCATCCTCTGCCGTCCTCTTCTCCTTTGGGTATTCTGCATGTTTTTCCCTTAACTCTCTTTGTTTGTTGTTTAGTCGTTAAGTCGTGTCCGACTCTTCGTGACCCCATGAACCATATTGCGCCAGTCCTTCACTGCCTCCCTGAGTTTGCTCAGTTTCATGCTCATTGCTTCAGTGATGCTATCTAACCATCTCATCCTCTGCCGTCCTCTTCTCCTTTTGCCTTCAATCTTTCTTATCTCTCTTACCATCTGCCAAAGTCAGAAAAAGAAGGTTCCTGTTAATGCATTAATTAAATTTTGCTATGAGTATGAATAATAGTCTTGAAGTATAAGTGAATTCTTGCTTAGAGATGTTGTATGCATACTCTCTAACAGAGGTGATCTCAGGAGAGAGATTCTATTCTATATGAAAGATAAGAGGGAATTCCAGTTTTAATAGGATGCTACCACCCTAGCTACATATACGTATTTCACATTCTTGTAAGTGAAGTACATTGTGGCTGATCCTAAAAAGCTAAGTAGGGTTGGATATGGTTAGTAATTGGATGGGCAGCCAACAGAAAATCCCAGGGAAGTTGAAGAAACATACTGGAGAAAGTCAATGGCAAAGCACTTTTGTATTGTGGCCAAGAAGACTACATGGACATGTCTATAAAGGCATCAGAAGTCAAGCTTGAATCGAAGGAGAACTTACATTTATAAAAAAAATCTTACTTACATATTAGGGCATCATTTTAGTCAAATATTTTATGTTGTGTTAATGGGTAGACAAATGAAATATTGCAGGTCTATTTCTTTTGTTCTTTTATCAAGTGGTCTTTCTGCAGAATTGCGAACCAATGTATGATCAGAAGCAGTGCTTCGCTTTTTTTTTCACCAGCTGTCATTGCTGATTTGGGTCTGTTAAAACAACAACCACAAAAATAACAACACAATCAAACATCTCATCCAAGCATCATCTACATTCAACATACCCAAGTAATGGCATCACCAGAGGGTTACCATGCCAAATTGTACTCATTGAAGAGACATGCATATATCCATCCAGTTTCAGTTCTACACACATAGCTGAAAAGATGATATTTTATGTGTATAATTGTCCCTCCTAGTTTTGTTTTGTTTTTAAGAAAAAGTCAACACCTTTTCAAGGGCATATAAAAGCTTTGAGGAAGAGTTAAACAGAAAAACCACGCAAGGGAAAATGATCAACCCCTCTTCCCGGCACATTATGGTGGCTGGGGGATTCTGGGGATTGTGATCCCAGCACATTGGGGTAAAGGCAGCAGGTTGAGGGCTCTTTCCTCCCCCCCCCCCCCCCGGGGGAGTTTCATGATTAAAGGGGAATTTGAACCTAGGGGTCTCCAAGCCTAGATTCTAAACACTATATAAAATGGCTCCAGCTAAGTTCTTGGAAGAAGGTCCGGCATTGGCTGCAGTAAATATAGATGCTTGAGTTGGGCTCCTCTGCATGCGTAATGGTATGTGGGAATAACCTTGGGAGACAGGAGAACGGCCACAGCCAGGGGAACAGTCAGAGAAAAGGCAGCTTAGCTTGCAGAAGGAATGTGAGCATGGCAAATGTCTCAGAAGGGGCCCTCCCTAGTTTCTTGGGCTGTAAAGGCAATGGGGGAGAAATGTTGCAAGATTCTGTTAATTAACTTTTCAATAAAATACAATTAGCCCATCTGGTCGTGCTTTCTGTCTGGACTACCTCACAAGGCTGACAGCATGCTCTTTAAAGCTCTTCCCCAAGTGGTTGCTTTCTACAAATGATCTCTGTAGACGTAGATCACAATAGGTTCATTTCTCTACTACCATTCTGGATAATATTCTTCCCCAATCTGACACTTCTCCAGATGTATTGAGCTATAGTTCTCAGCAGGCCCTTTTAAAGGAGTCAGTGAGAATCATTGCACCAGGTCCCACACATGGAAGGCCCACCATCCAAGATAATTTTCAATACCTGAAGAACTCTAATGGATCAATATGTTTCATTCAAGGCAGTAAAACACATCAGTTAAATTATAATGCCAAGAGTTATTTCAAAATGTTGCGTTTCTTCACATACTCTTGTTGTCTTTGGTGGGCAAAAACAGTGGAGAATGTGACTTGAAAAAGTTACTTGAAAAAGGCCTGGACTTCCATATTTCCCATCCAGTTGTCACACTCCTTGGGAATTCTGTGAGTTGTAGTTCCCATGTACCTGGAAGATGATTGGCTGGGCATTGTTTGATCAGGGAGCCAATTATGATGAGTCGTTCATGAATGTTGAGCTCCAGGAATCCCTTAAGCTGTAATGCCAGGTAGGGGCCTGGGAGGGAGGGTAGAAAGTGACCTCAATTTCAAGGACTTGCACAATGATTGGGGACGGCTTTGTCTGTCAGACAAGCAGAGCAATAATTGATGGGGTTTTCTGTATTCTCAGCCAGGTGCTGAATGGAGAGTCTTTTCTTTGCTTCATTATTGTCAGATAGTTTTTGAATAGGCCTATCTCTGCGTGTGTTTTGGCTTCTCCCAAACGCAGCCAGGCAAAACCTCCCTTCCCTCGTTCGGCTTTTTATCCCATGCCTTTGCCCTCTCTGGCATCAACAAAAATTATTGGAGCGCGGAAACTGCCGAGTGAGAAAAGCTTGATGCTTATCTGCACAGCTCTTCCCTACCAGGCTGAAGGCTGCCTCTTGGAGAATTGACACAGGCTCTATTGTAATTCTGGAAGCACTTTTTTTTCTTAATAGTCTTGAAGATTAAGGGCAACTTTATAGTTCCTTCCCAGCCTATTGTTTCGGCTGCAAAATGCAAGCTGCTTTTCATTGCTGTATCTGAAAGTTCTCTCCAGCTCTCGCTGTGATGATCAATCAGCTTGGCTGAGAGCCACTATGGGTCTTATGTGGTTTCTTGCCTTTGATGGAATATTCCCCTTTACAAAATAATGCCCTGCCCATAGAAAAGTCAGTGTCAGGCAGAAGAGTTCTAAGTTAATTTTGCCCCTGATAAGCTTATTTTCTATGTGCAAAGATTTTTTAAAAAACACTTTTATTCACACTGTATTGCAGCATCTGGTCATTGTTGAAGCAACATCTGGAACATGGGTGGCTGTATAAATTCAACAAACAAATACATTCTGATCTCTGCATTCTGATGGTGTCTTAAAGTATATCCCTCTATCCTAGATCAGCTACCAGAGCATTGAATCCTCTGACCCAGCAGTTAATGTGCCTGGCCCACGACGCACTGTCTCCAAGCTCCGAAATGAAACTTACCACGTTTTCTCCAACCTTCATCCTGGAACAACCTACCTTTTTTCAGTAAGAGCACGAACTGGCAAGGGCTTTGGACAAACCGCTCTGACTGAGATCACCACCAATATCTCAGGTAGGTTGGGAGAAGAGAAAGGGCACTCTTTTTCTGGAACATCTTGACCTTGTTCAGAATTATGGAGCGTTTGGGTGCCTTTTCTCTCTAGATTGCAAATTGTTGCTTTGGATGGCATAATGTGGTTCTTTATTTTCTTTTTAAAAATGGATGGTGGTTTTCTGCTGACAGACAAACCCATTTTTGATTGCAGCATTATATTATAGTTCCACACCAGTTTCTGATGTAGAGGAAATTAACTCCATCAGTTTTTTTTCCCCTGCAGTTACACTTGGATTAATTCATTTGCACATTCTGTTTTGCTTCTCAATTGTTGCTATTCTTTTTTGACCCTTCCTTTGTATCCCATTCCTTTTTCCTGTTTGGAATTAAGGTGAAATCTCCTTCAAATTGAGCTTGACTCCTGATGGCTTCATGAATGCATCCATGCAGTCATGTATTGGGGTTGTTGGCAACAGTACAAAAGTGGCTTGCCTTCTTCCATTATCTTTTATTTTTCAACTTCCCAGTCCAATCTACAGCCCTGCAATTCCTTGAGGCTCTCTCATCCAGGCACTCACCTGTCCTGATCTTACTTAGCTTCTGGACTAAGACAAGGTTGCACAGATGCTGCCACCTGTAGGATATTATTTCCTTCATAGGGCGTTTGTGCAGGGTAAGTATGACAGCTTCTTACCCTTGTCTTGCAAGTTTGGCATTGCAATTCATATGGGGATCACACTTGTAGTTTGTAATTGCTTAGTAATAGAAATATCCCTTATGATTATGAGATAAATAAAGGAAGACCTTCAAAGGTAGGAGATGGGGTTTCTAGATGAAGTTTTTAGAGGAAAGCATTTGTATTCTCACTCTCCTAACATCTCTTCATTGCTCGTCATCCTCCATGGCTGCTTTCACTTCCAATCTGAAAAAACAAACAAACAAATAAACAAACAATCCATGAAAAGTGTTCCCTTAGGATTTAATTTCTTGGGATCTAAGGGAAGCATGAGAGCCATGAAGGCTGCAGAGCACAGCGAAGATATTTGTACTGTGAAGGTGCAACACTGAGACCCATTCTTGGTCATCTCATCACTAAGTAAATACAAATCCACCCATGAGGATTTCAACAAGACTTTCTCCCCTTGTGGGATGGGGGGCAGCGTGGCGGAGGGAATACAAAACAATTTTTTTCCTTCAAGTGAAAAGAAAATTATTTTTTTAAAAATGGAGAAGTTTGAACGCTAGTATTTTCGTGAGACCTTGTAATGCTGGCACCTTGCCATATGGCTTCCATCTGATACTTACAGCATTCTGGTGAGGACTGCACTGAAAGCCAAGAGGACGGGTGAACTAGCAAGGGGGCTCCGTTATTTTTAGCATTACTTCGTCTATTATTTTTTGTTTTAGTTTGGCTTTTATATCTTTCAATGTATTGATTGACTGTTTTAGCCCTGTTGTATGCCATCCAGAGTCACTTGTTCATGAGATGGGTGGCTATATAAAAAGTATAAATAAATAAATAAAATTGGACACTATACAGTCTATACTATGAGCATGTTATATTGCATGCAAAAGGCAGAAGCGATAGATATGGTGCACAAAACTCTCCTGTGTTTCAGCTCCTAGAAGTCTTCACTTTCCATGAGATTGGGGTCTCTTGGGGTCTTGAGCTGTGAGTACTGGCTTGCTAATAGTTGTTGAATGTTAACTGTTTAGGCTCCTATAGTGAGCCCAGCTGAAATTTAACCCACAGAATGGCTCCATGTAGTACTCTCAGAAGCTCATCCAGACCAACACACAAAGCCGCCGTCTCATTACTACAGCTCTTAAAACGTTTCCATGTCACTAAAATAAATTCAGATAGCTCTTCCTCTCTCAGATGCCATCCATACTTATTCTGATTGCAGTTAAACAATGCATTCCAGCACTGAGATGTGAGAGAGTGGGTTGAGGGATGGGGGAGTACATTAGCTCTTCTAGCTTGTTATTTTTCTGTGTTCAGTTTTATCCCAATCAGAAGGAATTTTTACTGCAGCACCAGAGCACAGAAGGCACTTCTAAAGAAATAAGGAAACCGGGTTGGGGGGGTTGGGGGCAAGACAGACTCAAAACCGTGCAGAAAGCCATAATGGGTAGTGAACTTTCCTTGAGGGGTTGCTATTAAACAACAACACTGAAAGTTTGTGAGAGCTCCATACACAGATAATTTATTAGTGTGGCAGGGGAATGGCCTAGTCAGGCCAGCACAGATTTTCAAGATGAACAAGATTGGGAAGTTCTCCATCTAGGCCAACAGAGCATGGTGAAGAACCACCTCCTTAACCAACAAGTGGTGTCACACCAACAACATCCAGGTAGAGAAGGAGTAGTTTACCAGCTGCCCAATCCTCTCTTTGTTGCTCCAGCGAATGATTAGGGTTCAAGATTCCTTCTCTTGAGTAAAGTCTCATGCTATCATGAGACCATGTGGAATGTCTTGGGTTTCCTTGGATTTACTCCTGTATCTATTTTGGGTGGGAACAATAATCTGGAGCCATATAATGCAATTAATCGGGGATTAAAGGTGTGCAGTTCATAATAAATCTGTTCCATTTTGCAGTCTTGGTGGTTAGGGCAGTCTTTCAGTCTCCTGGGTTTTTAGTAGATATTTGTTTTATTTGCAACTCTCACTACTTGACAACATTTTTGAGAGAGAGCATTGGGGAAATGGATATGGTGGGTGAGAAAAAAGATGAATGTTTTGGAGATGTAATATGCATTCTCAGTACAGTATATATATATATTTTTAAACTCCCCTTTTCCTAGGCAACAGGAAAAATACATATTTTTATTCCAGGTTATACCTTCACAAAAACACATTTTTTTAAAAAATGCCACGTTTTGTTTACAGAAAGATGCATACTCAGGTGTTGCGTTTAACATCACTCTCTGTGATATGGATATGGTCCTTTTTGACAACTCTTTCAAATCTGCTTCCTCTAAAACCTGTAGTGAAATTCTTTCATGTTTCTTGTCAAGCTGAGTTAGCATCTCAGCCTCTCATAACTCACCAGATTTCCCACTGCAATGTAGAACAGGAGTTTCAGCACTTGAACTAGGAACCCTCAATGCTGTGTGTTTTGCTTGAAGTGACAGGGTCACCCTTTATCCCACTGTGCAGATCTCTTTAAATATGTTTCTTCCTGAAATAGATTCTTCATGCTCCAGAACTCCTCTCGCTTTTTCCTAGATACCCTGCAGTCTGAATTCAAATGGAAAACAGTATGCATTACAACCCTGCTGGATAATTTACTTGCATGGCGGTCCAAAAGCTGGCTTGTTTACATTGCAGAGTCTCTGGTGCTGGAACACATTTCTTAACTCAGTGGAGCAGCTTTGATAGGATCTATTAGTAGGGGTGATCTGGGAGGGGAGAAATTGAATACTGTCATCCCTGTGTCTTGCTGGAAAGGGTCTTAGAGAAATTATTATTATCTGCATGAGTGGGAAATGTTGTCTTGAAGTGTAATAGATAAGGTGGGTGTGCTGAGCAAGGGGAGTTTGTGTGTTTTTCATTAAATGGCACATGTATTTGAGTGTGTGTGTGCGTGTGTTTCCCCCATCCGCTGAAGATGCTTTATTTAGGTAGATGGAACTATCTAGGTCAGTGGCATGCTTGACACCAAATAATAAGGAGGAGAAACACACACGCACAAACACACACACAAACACACGAAGAAATCCAAACATTAGTTTGGACAATCCAGCTGCTACATGTTTTTATTTTTATTTGTTTTTATATTGTGTATTTTGTGTTTTTTATTTGCTTTATTGTAAGCTGCCTAGAGTCACGTAAAAGTGAGATGGGCAGCTATAGAAATCAAATAAATAAATAAAACCCAGTATTGTCTATACATTGACTCAGGCCATGGATCTTTGGGCTCTTTTAGCAAGATCTTCCCACTATTGGCTGCATAACATTTTTGAACTTGAGTCCTTCTTCAGGTAAAACAAATGTTCTGCCACTGAACTACTATATAACAGTGGGTATTCTTAGTAGATAGATGTGAGAAAAATTGCCCAAGTAGTCAGGGATGTCTGCAGGGTGTGTTCATAAAAGTCAAGATGGCAGCTGTCCCTGTGTGATCTGAACTCTGTGTGTTTTTTGTGTGTGTCACACATGCACGTAAACAGGTAGAGCTCCAGTCACACTGTTGCGGCTGCCATCTTGACTCTTTTGACCACATCCTACAGATACTCCTGTAAGTAGCCGTTCTGTTTTCAAGGTGTGGAGTCCACACTGCATTGAGGAGAAGGAAGAGATTGGGTGGAAAAGGAGAAATAGAATAAAGAGGAGAACTAGAAGATGGGTTAAGAAGAGAAGAAATGAGAGAGGAGAAATAGAAGAGGAGCAAGAAGGAGAAGATGACAACGTTTTGGCTTGTGAAAGTTTGAAACACTCAAGGCAGACAGATTATAGAAGGGAGAGAGTTTCCCAATAAGAATTTCATCATATATAATTTGGGCTCAGTTTATTGGGGTTCTATTTGCCCGAGACCCATCTAGTCCTCTCATTCAGCCATGAATGGATAAAAGCAGGAAGTGAAAGAAGACAGGGGGAATGGGCTTGATGGTTAGACTACAGAATACAGGAGGGAATGCTGTTTTTTCTTCTGCTGCTTTATGTCCATGTTCACACATATTTTCCCCATTTTTTTTGCATTAATCTATAATTTAAGAAAAGCTGCATAAAACTCTGTGTAGCAACATGCAATGCTGTGCAAAACTTTGCACATAAATACATGTCTTCAAATGTATTCTCTCTGGCAACACATTCCTAAACACATTTTTCCTGCAATACAAATGTAATCCTTTTTGGGGGGGGGGAGCTGTGAAGTACCTGGGAGCATTTAGGAAGCAGAAAGCCTGCAGACAACCAACTTTTGATCCACACATTAGTCTGAGAGTCCTATCAAGTCTGCTTGCATTGGAATTCGTAAAGGTTATATTTCCTGAGCATGGACTAGTCAGAAACACAAAAGGATCTCAGAAAGTAAAAGATTTCTAATATTGTCTTAAATCAGCAGAACGTTCCCCATCCCCAACTTTTTCATTTTTTGGTAATGGAGCCCAAAGGCCTTGTTTACTGTATGCAAAGCATATTCCACTACAGCATTTTCTGTTGACTCCTGGGAGAAGGGGGGTGTGGGTTGGGGAGAGCAAATGCCTCTCAGGAGGAAGCAAAGCTGAGATGATTTAGAAGATTTGGTATTGCAGAAATAAGATTCTCTCCGACTCCCCCTTCCCACAAAAACCCATATCATGGGAAAAATTACAGGGAGGAAACAAAATAGCCTGCCTCACAAAGGCACAAAACAGGGATTAATTGGGCTTTATTAACAAGCCATATAGTACTTAGGGCTGTTTGCTAATGTCTGTGGTGTAGCTATTAACTGCGCTGAATGGGCTGCAATGTTTTTTAATGGGGAGCAGAGGAATTACAAGCCAGCAGGAGGTGGACCAGAGTGACTACTTATTAATCAGGGCCTGCAGGCTCTTTAGGAAGAGAGTGTGAGGGCAGGGAATGTTTTCAATGGGCCAATGAATTGCTTTGCTGTCTCTGTGGAAGGACAGCCCTGAGTAACATGTAGTCCACCTAGGGGAATATCTATGCTACCATTTGCTGGTTAGCTTCTTTTTCTCCACAATGAACACCCTTGATGGTGGGTGTGCTGTACTTGTGGACAAAAAGGCCATGGCCAGGGGACTGAAGATTTGTGTAGCATCTGGTAATTGAGCGATGGTGGTAATATCCCCCAAAGTAGACCCTTTCTCATACATCTTTTTAAGGGAAGTATTTCATCGCAAGGTGTTGAGAAACAGAGAAACAGGAAAAAGATTATATTCAGATTCACAAATTAGTTCAGGAGAGTGTGAATTGAGGTCAGCTCATCTCCAGATATGAAGTGAGTACATTTCTCCTGCATCTTGTTCATGTATTAGTCCAGAAAGTTGTTCCTGGTCTTGTTTTCCATTTGTCCTACTCTGTCAAAAGCAGGTCTAATTAATGTGTCCTTTATGTTTCTTTACTTCCCTTGCATTGGAGGAAAGGACTGTGGAATAACCACTGCCTTTAGAATAATCAGTGCAGTGCAATGCACATTTTAAAAAATACAGTAGTTTCTCTTGCTGTGAGCCAAGGATATGAGTCTGTGATCATTAATAAAAGCAAGAGATGGAACTATGGGGGAAATGTTCCGTTTATATGCACCATGCACTTTCGCCCTTTCCCTCAGGCAACTCCTCAGAGATTAACAGTTATGAATCCAAAAAGGAATCACTTCATTTCCCACAGACACGGTAGATAATACTGCATTGGAATAGGGCAGTACTCTACTGATGTTTTGGAGAGCACCGGGCCTGAGCAAATCGGACAGAACCACATTTCAATTGTCAAATTCAAATAGGCAGTTTTTGATTTAGAAAATCAGTCTAACTCAACAATTTGAACCGGTTTGGAAAATTGATTCAGTGGAGTGGTGGAATTAGATTGATGCAATCTGTATTTCAGAAATGGCTGTTTGGAACAACGCAGAAGCTTCTGAATTGTCCACATCTGTTTGAAATTATCTGATTTTACTGTTTGTTTGACTTCTCAATTCAATTAAGAAAGGTGATTTTGATGGAGTCAGTTTTTTGCCCAATCCCAGGTGAGCAAATGTTGAACTGATGAAGGTTGGAAACAGACAGAAACACCTTTTTTCCTTCCTTTGCAATTATTTGTATGCCATCTATTAGAGCCCCTCTGATTTTACAGTTTGTTCTGAATTCAGTTGAGAAAGGTCAGTGTGAGCAATTTGACTGAATTGCTGTTGAATCCACCTACTGCTATTGTGTTCTACCTCCCACAACTTAGTTCTGTTGAAATGGCAGCACTTTTTCGTTGGTGTTCCCATTTCCTTGAAAGCTCCTTAGATATACAGAATGGTTTTCTAGTGGCAGGAGCATCTGGCTTGATCTCCAGACTTGCTTCCTTGTGATACTTTTTATCATCAAATGTAAGGATGTGAAAAAGAGCCAGCCACAAGGCCTTTTTTTAAAAAAATCCTCTCTCTCATAAGTATTTTGAATGGGATTTAACGCAGAAGTAGATTGGGAGTGACCCTAGGGTCGCATGGACCCATTAGCTTAATTTCAAATTGATTTCTCAGAAAGTGAGCAACCTTGATTGCCTGCCCACCTTGCAGCTTGCTGCTTGGAAGAAATTAAAAGGTTGGTATTATAAAAGGAGTTTTTACTTTTTTTTTTAATATATAATTTTTGTTAAAGATTTTTTTAAAAGAAGGAAGATAAAAACGAATACTAATATAAAGTGAGAAAAAGAAAAGAAAAATAAAGAAGTCAAAGAAAAAGCTGAAAGTGCAAGAAAGGAAAGGAAAAAAAAGTAACAAAATAGAAAAGAAAGAAAAAAGATAAAAAGAAGTAGCTTCCAATCTTCTTTACAGCGGTTATCAGTACAATTATAAATTTACCTTTTACTCTATGGTTATAACATAACTCTCTTCTTTCTATAATCTATTCTGTCTGATCATCAAAACCATAATTCATTTTTTTTCTGTTTTACCCAAAAAGCCCATAAGGGGTTTCCAGTCAGCAATAAACGTGGATATTATTTTTTCTCTGATCAAAGAAGTCAATTTAGCCATCTCAGCACGTTCCATCACCTTCACCAACCATTCTTCCATTGTGGGTAATGGCGAATTTTTCCGTCTTTGTGCGTACAACAATCTCGCTGCAGTTATCATGTACCAAAACAAAGTTCCATCACTTTTTTCCAACTGTTTGTCCATCAATCTCAAAAGAAAAACCTCTGGTCTCAATGGTACATTAATCTTTAAAGTCCTCTGAATCCATGTATGTATTTGAATCCAGATTTTTCTAGCTTTTTTACACGTCCACCAAACATGATAAAATGTCCCTTCTTGTTCACATTTCCAACATAAATGTGAAGTGCCTTTGCACATTCTAGACAAATAAAGGGGGTGTTACCGTGTCAATAGGTATACCTGATGTACCAAAACAAAGTTCCATCACTTTTTTCCAACTGTTTGTCCATCAATCTCAAAAGAAAAACCTCTGGTCTCAATGGTACATTAATCTTTAAAGTCCTCTGAATCCATGTATGTATTTGAATCCAGATTTTTCTAGCTTTTTTACACGTCCACCAAACATGATAAAATGTCCCTTCTTGTTCACATTTCCAACATAAATGTGAAGTGCCTTTGCACATTCTAGACAAATAAAGGGGGTGTTACCGTGTCAATAGGTATACCTGTCTACCCTTGGCTCTGACTTATCCACTGCTTACTTCAGCCCAGCCTACTATATAGCCTCAGCAGTTTACTCCTAAAGGGAAAACACCCGTGGACAGGAAAAGATTTGTTCAATCCTGACTGAATGTGAAGCGAAAGATACTAATAATAGTCCATAAATACGATGCAAATGGATTGCCGTTTCTCATGATGATGATGATAATGATGCTTATTATCAGTACTGCTTACTACTACTGTAACTTCAGGGGTGTCTGCAGGATTCAGCAAAAAAAGTCAAGATGGTGGCTGCGAGGGTGTGCTTGAAGCCCCACGATGCACATAAAAGATGAGTGGAATGAAGTCGCATTTGATTATTACCTTTTGCTTTCTTTCAGCACCCAGTTTTGATTATGGAGACATCCCTTCCCCACTGGGAGAGTCGGATAGCACCATCACTGTTCTCCTGCGGCCAGCCCAGGGCAGGGGTGCCCCAATCAGGTAGTGATAAGGATAAATTAATGTAATATGCACTTGAATGGAAAGTTATCTAATTTCATATTTTAACAATGGAATTATTTATTTCACAATATTTATAGCCCACCCCATTCCTAGCAGGTTTGGGGCAAAGGTGGGGGGTAGACATTCAACAAAGTCAAAGGCAACTAGATTGAAAGCTCTGTACATAAAATTAAAATAATTCCATTATAAAGAGTCAACAATAACAGGTGCCCTTTGAACTAAACTAATAGCTGAATGCCCACTGGAATAGAATTGCTTTGGCCTGCTATGAAATGCCAACAAGCTTGGCTTGGTGAGCCATTTCTGTATGAAATTCAGGGTCCTGTGAGTCCTAAGAAAAGGTATTATGGAATATAGTGCACAATATGGATATATTTTTGAAAAGCATGTAAAAATATAAAAACAGATTACATTAGGGAGAATTGTTTGCAAACTTCTACATTGAGAAACATAGCAAAAAAGTCTCTAAGTTTAGAGAAACGTGCAGCATTTTAGTGCAGACTTTTTAGAAAAATTCTCTAGTTTGACAAATGGAGCTTGACATATTTGCAGAAATAAGAAACAGAGACTAACCAAAATTGACAGGTTGGCCAATCTGTATAAGACAGCCAGTCTATGCAATGGATCATGAATTTTGTTGAATTTTGAAATAAGGTTATTTTCTTTTATCAGGGGATAAAAGATAAATTGCATTCCACTGCCTTCTCTTTCCTTTTTTCTTCTTCTCTCTCTTTCTTTCTAAAAATGTTAACTGCAAAGTTAAGTTTGTCCTGCAAGGCTGAAACATTCCTTTTTTTAATGAGAAATTTGCATCTTTCGCTTTACAGATAATTTATGGGGAAGAGATTCATTGGGGAAAACTCTGCAGGTTAAATATATAAATCTTGTACTCTATGTTCCCAAACCTCAGTTTAGGGAAATGTTTTGGGAACTTCAACATTACCTCTGCTTTGTCCCTCCATACATTTTGGAAGTCTCTGTCCACAAGTTTTTAATGTGTGTTAGATTTTTCTGCATGTCCAGTCCTCAGTTCTTGGGACTCCTGAGTTCTATGGAATAATTTGGGGGAGAGACTTGGCTTGGTCTAATACAGTGTTTCTCAACCGTGGCAACTTTAAGATGTATGGGAGTTGAAGTCCACACATCTTAAAGTTGCCAAATTGAGAAACACTGGTCTAATATAATTTAATGTATACCTTTTCAGTGGATGTTCAGTGGATGCCCATCAGCAGCTAGGATCTGGTTAATTTAGTGATCAAGATAAAAAAACGGTATATGTTAAAATTACAAAATGCAATAATTAAACACGGTAATTGTTTTAAAATGCATTAAAGCAAAATCATTGCCCTTTTTTTTGCAAGAAGACTAGCAGAGAGAACCACTTAGCCTAATTTTGGCTGTCCATAAATTGAATATCTCTACCCAATAATAATAATAAAAAATATATATCTAATTTTTGTTTTGTTTTTATGGGTCACACCAATGTTCCCGCCTCCACACCTGCAGTATGTTTATACTGTTTCAAATAATAATATGGGCTGATACTTTTCATTTTAGCTAACCAGTTAAAACACAATCCAATGAGCTATTTCAGTATTTTGATTTCTCCTACTCATTCCCACCGATTGAGCAGTAGACTTCAATCGAGAGATTAAAACATGCCCGTAAGAAAATGAAGGTTTAAATTCTGCCTCCAGGCTCCTTAGAGTACTTCCCTACATAGATGCCTCTGGGTGCTGGGAGGATGTGTGAGGACTAATGTGTTGATGGCCTTATGTCACACTCATGCATAGCTTTGTTCTTGCCAATGCATGAAAGTAGTTTTTTGGCACTTAAGGCCTCATTCAGGCTAGCACCTGAATTATACTGGGATTTGTCATGAGCATTCACTTCCAAGCGAAACTGAGGGATGTGATTGTCATCTCAATTCATTTTAGGCTCTATAGTTAAGAGTTTTTGTCTCCCAGTCCATACGAAAGAGTAAGGCGTAATTCAGCCCATCCTGCATATTCCTCTCCACCCATGTATCATTCAGGGAGGGAAACATTTGGTTTTCCTTTTGCTTTTTTGGACGAGCTGCTTGTTAACAAAACCTGTGTCAGTGTGAGAGACTTTGCCAGGTATTTAAGCAGTTCCTTCAGACCCATTGCTAGTAGCTGTTCTGATTGTGGTAGTTGGGTGGAGATAGTTGCCAAAGTTGGGATCTTTAGTGAGAATCTTCCAAAGGCCAGGATTGATTTGTGTGTTGTGTTGATGGGTTGCATCATCAACCCTGAAGAGCGAGCATTCTTCCTTGGTGGGTATCCTGGGGCTCTTGCTTGGAGGAGGGATCTGGGTAGATTTCTTTGAACGTGTTGTGTACAGTGAGATGGGAGCTCCCTTTCCATCAGCTTTTGGCAGTGAGAAAATGGCAGTCAGCAAGATCCAAGTTTAGCAGCTGCCTTCCTATCAGACCGGTTGGCCAAACCCTGTATCTGTCTTCCTTTGGGAGCTATTTCTGGTAATTTCAAAGATGGAAAACGGATGACAGCGCATCTGCTTTGGTAAGTCATTGAAACAGAGTGGAGACTCTTCCATAATGAAAATGCTTTTGGCCAAGTCCTTGATATGTTACTAGCTGGCCCAAGTGGAGGCAAACTGCAGGAACCCAGAAGCGCTGTGCGCGCATGTTTTCTTCCATTACATTCACATAACGTAGGAGGTCCTTTTCTCTCTTTTTCTCTTGAGAGCAACATTCTCTTGGGAATAAGAGGGTGCGGGGGCCCTATTTGGTGATAGTGGATGGAGCTTAAACAGGGGTACGGCTAGAAACAAAAGTAGATGAAGCCACCTATCTTTTTTTCCTGGTGATACCCCCTTTCCCCACTCTGTTTCTTCCTCACTACAGATTGCTCTTGACAAACCCCAATTTACGGCTTGCAGAAAGCTTTTGCAGTTAGTCAAGAGCTGCATGAAATTAAGTTAAGGGCCCCAGGTTGACAATACTTATCATTAACAATCATGATCTCTTTGTAGAATTGAGGGAAAAAGCTCTACTGCTAATGTTCTGTTTACAGGGGAATGCTTCTATGGAAGAGAGAGGGCAAAATTATTTGCAAAGTTTGCAGGAGGAGTCTTTCTGATAATAGCATAAGGATTCCTCCTTCCATCTGACTTTATTTTTTAATGCTTCTGCTGATGGGAAACTTCTTGGAGGCCTCAGGCAAGCACAAGCATGTTTATTTCACAGCATGCTCTGCAATCTCTTAGCAGAAAGTTACAGCCACCCCTTCCAGCATCAGAATAATCTGGGGCACTCTGAGAATCAAAAGTATATCTGTTTCTTTCTTCATCCTGGAAGCTTTACTGAAGGTGATTCGTTTAGAAACAGTGGAATGGTGATGCCATGCCTTAGATCAAAAGATTTATCATCCACTACAAAATAGATAGGTCAGAAGATAGACAATGTGGATTTTGAAAGGGCAGCCTTTTCCCCCTTAGAGTACCAGCAGAACTAGTTTAGGGTGGGCTTCATTTAATGTCCCCTCTTGTTTTTGCTTTCTCTTCCCAACCTTCTCTGATTCCTGGGTTCTCAGCACATATCAAGTCATTGTGGAAGAAGACAGACCTAAGAAGGTCAAACGGGAGTTAGGTGGCCCAGAATGTTTTCCAGTGCCACTAACGTTCGATGATGCCATGTCCCGTGGCTTGGTCCACTACTTTGGAGCTGAACTGTCCCCAAGCAGCCTCACAGAAGCCAGGCCCTTCACTGTAGGGGACAATCAAACATATAGCGGTTACTGGAATCCTCCACTGGAACCCAAGAAAGCCTATCTCATCTACTTCCAAGCTATGAGCAATCTCAAAGGGGTGAGTAGCAAGCTCTGGGTATTGATTTGTGCAACATCATCTATAAAATATATTCATTTCTATGATTCTTTTACTTTTTTATTTATTCGATATTGCTTTTAAAATAATAGGGAAAAAAAGGAACAAAACACAAAAATACGTTGTTAAATAAAAATATGTAACAAGTGCTTAAAAAAGAAATAAGGGAAAAGAATGCAATAGGAAAAAATATATAAAGTATAGTATGTTGTTACAATAAAACAGTTACAATTCTATATATAATTTTCTAATAGAAACTTTATGCAAGTGTGTGTGTGTGTGTGTATAAATAAATATAATACATTTATATAACTATCTTGCTTTTTTTAACCTACTGTATTTTGCATAAATGTGCCCCATATTTCATTATACTTGTCCATACAATGTCTGTGTCTATAGACAATCTGCTCATAAGTAGCAAGTGCAATCAGGTGTTCAATCCACTGAGTGAGTGGGGCCATACATTTATCTTTCCAATGCTGCAATATAAGTCTTTTAGCCATAGTGAGGGCACAGAGAATCCATTTACATTGTCCAGTTGTCAAATTCCATATATTAGGTATGTAATTCAAACACTGTGATTCTTTTACTTGAGCATGATTGTGATTTCCTATCTGAGGGTGAGATATACAGCAGTTTAACTTCAACAGTCTTGCAGCAGTAGGTGTTCCCAACCACTTATTGAATCATGAGATCATGTCAGCCCTCCCAGGTAAACCAGTCAGGAAACAAGACAAAATGAGCTAATTCTACTTTATTGTAAGGCTACGTTAATAGAATTTTGCGGGTCTAAAAGTAGAAATCTCCCGCCATCTCTTTTACAGCCTGATAAGTTAGGGAGGCTCCTTTCTGAGTTTCTTTCCCTGCCTGTTATGCAGCTGCAGGCCACCCCCCTTCATCTGATTGTTCCCTAGGCAGCATCTCTTCCCCCATCTCCCAAGATCATTCCCACATAGCATTACAAGATCCCAAATTGAGGTGCTTCCATTTCCAGTTTAAAAAAACTAGCAAATGATTGATCTTCACACTTTGGAAAGCTGTTGCCAGACAATCTAACTAAACAGATTAATAACTTATGTTTGTAATGCCCACATAGCATTACAAGATCCCAAATTGAGGTGCTTCCATTTCCAGTTTAAAAAAACTAGCAAATGATTGATCTTCACACTTTGGAAAGCTGTTGCCAGACAATCTAACTAAACAGATTAATAACTTAACTTAGCCTTGTATGTTTGTAATGCAAGGGCCCCATCTGCACAGTTTGGTGGCTCATACATATTATTTATTC